ATTGTTTGGCTCAAAAGTTAACGATATACTTTGTAAGCGATAAAACAATCAAAAATAGAAGAGGGGTAAATCGTAATCAAATATAATAAGCCTAGAGATGCAAAGATGATAATATTGTTGTAGATCTAATATTGCAGAGTGACAATGTTCACCAATAAGATATTTTCGTTAGAAGTAGAGATATAGAGAGAGAAAGCCAGAAAAATGAGAGAGTTGTATTAAATCCGATCCTCTTTTTACAATGTGGAGGTCTCCTTTATATAATAGGAGACCTTCCTCGAAAGAATCAAAAAGTTACAAAGATAGGTAACGTCTCCCTAGTGTGGATGCTGAGTTCTAAACGATGTCGCTTTTGTCCTCACGGCCGAGTCGTACCCGCTACGTTGGTCGGGGTACACTCATTGGGCGTACCCACTGGCGTAGAGATAATGAGGGTCAAATTTGACCCTATACAAATAGACTGAATGTCACTACAAAATACACATCTCAAATTGGTTGCGGGGAATTATTGTACTTTTTTAGTTTTTCAATATTTAAATATTATTAGTGAATTCATGGACAATATCCAACTCTGAAAATTGACCAAAGTAACCATTGATAAACCAAAACCTACAAATTTTGAGCAGTTAAGTACTAACAAGTTATGCGCGCTTGATAATTTCTTGAAGACAAGGGGAACCCAAGTGATAGATGATTCACTGAAAGATGAATCTTTAACAAGACTGCCCCTCCCCCCACAACTCCAAATCTCTCTTCTAAAAGTAAAAACAAAAATGGACTGGCATGAAAAATAGAAGTTTCAGAAAATGTCTCAGATCAAGGCCAAAAGGCATGACATTGACGTATCGACATCTCAAATTGAGATAAAATAAGATAATTTACGAGCATGGAGAAAAATACCGATTATCGCACACAATAGTGTGGTCTAATGATGAATGACGTGGGATAACCCATGGAAGATTAAGGTTAAAATCACCCGACAAAAAAAAAACTGTCTATGCCTTAACGACATAGATATCCGATAATTAGTGAAATAATCAAAGTACACGCAACTTAGACATCACTGTCCTAAAAAATGCACCTAATAAGTATAAGCAACTTGATATGTATGCCTATTGAATGAAGAATAATATATGTGCAGAACTGCAGAAGTGTGTAGACAGAAAGAAGGAATTGGGCCCTCATGTTTAACAAGGGGGAAAATGCTATTGCATGTTGAAGAAATAAACTGAACCTAAATAATAAATCAAAGTCATACGATGGAAACCTAGTAAAAAGCATATGCTTCATCTGCTTCTTATTACTTTAGCACAATTTTAGACAGTATTAAATATTTGAGAAAAATATGGTACATTAGTGCATCTATTTTTTATTAAACGAGTCTTGAGAGCCAGCCGCACACGACTCAAAACTCGATAGATAATTATTTAACCCTTCTATTCTTCTCCAATTAAATATCAAGCTTTTGTCCGCAACAAAATTTGAAACGGCGAGGTGAGTCTAATGCATACACCACGTGTGTGCTATTACCACTGGACCAAAGCCCATGGAGGCACTAGAGCATCTTCAGAACATCTCTTTTGTCTTGCCAGATAAAAGTGTTGCACTATGACCATTGCCAACGGTCATATTGCACAAATAGCCTATTTTTTTTTTTTTAATTTACAAAAGTAACCTTCTCCAAAACTATAAATACCCCCCTCCCTCTTCTTCATTTCAATACTCAATACTCATTTATCAATCTAAATTTCACTCATTCTCTCAATCTCCAATTTTCAAGGCTTCAAGTCTCAATCTCAAATTTCAAGTTAAATCATGCCTCGTTTGGAAAGAGTGCGCTTATTTGTTTCGCAACACTTTGAAGTGCTTGAAGAAAATAAAGAAGGCCAAATATTAAAGTGCAAGAACTGTGGTAGTCTTAAATTTTCTTTCAGGGTGTACCACAGGCATTTTAAGGAGGCATATAAAATATTGTCTTGAGCGTATTTATCCAAAAATTCGTATTTAAGATTTTTCGATAATTTATGTAATTTTAAAATTATTAGACGTATTTATGCTTAATGTTTTACTTTGTTATTAATTTATTATGCATGATAATTTAGTTTTACTATTGTTTTGTTATTTTACTTTTTCTTCAAGCACTTTAATAATTAGGTTTCTATATTATATGTATACTACATATATTTATATAGCCATGTATAAGAAAGCAATTTATATTAGTATATACATATATGGTTTACAAGAAATTGCCTTAAATAAAAAAAATATAAAAAAAAAATTGCCCGGAAATAAAAAAGCCCGTTAGGCCCGTGAGCCCGGCCCATTTAGCCCAAGACCATGTGGGCTTAGGCCCGTCATGGGCTGGTTCCACCCGTTGAGCCCATGAAGCCCGGGACCATGAGGCCCGGGGCCGCCAGAGCCCAGCCCGCTTCAGCACGTTGGCCCGGCCCATTTAGGCCCGTGCCCAGCCCAAAATACAGCATTAATGTGCTTAAACTATTTAAATTTACTCGGAATTGGCTACATCAATATTTCCATTTTCAACTAGTCAAACCTCCTAAAAAGATGTTGGCAAGTTTAGAAGATAAACCACAAAAACAGCAAATTGAAATAGCAAAGGCGACATCACAGTAGAAAGAATTAATTTGACCTCAAAATATAGCCAAAACTACAACCACTCCATCCTCTCACCATCACTTTTAATTGAACAAAAACAAAGCTAGAGCTGGTGTCAGTTGCACCATCAATAATATGACGCATAGCATTTAGCTAGTCAATAAGAAAACAAAACCTATACATAATTTTAGAAGGCAAATTTCATGCCTATAACTAAGGATAGAGTTGAGAACATATACTTGCAGCGACATCATGAATGCAGGCATACCGTACCCCAATTTAGAACCAAACAAAGTGCATTAATACTGTCAACAATGAATATTGGGAAGCATGAACTTAGAATGATGCAGTACTTAAAACAGAAAACACCATCATGGCAGGCAATGACACTCTGCAATCAGTTCATCTACTTTTCAATCTGCCTCTACACTAGATAAATAAAGAAAATAGAAATTGCAAATTTCAGCAAGTTATTGACTTATTCGCACAAGAAAGCTTGTGACCGTGAGCTGGTAGTAGTGAACAACGTACAACAAGCAACTGTATGCATACGTATATCAATTAATAGAAAAACTAAACATGCAACGACGTAAGGTACAAGGTTCCCATAAATTGAAAAACAGGTGATCTCATCATCATTTGCACACAACATAGTCTTATTCCGAACTTCCCCACCAGTTTTTTATGATAGAGTTAACCACCTTGTTTTTTCTCCAAAAGGACATCTTGCTGTATCAAAAAGGGGTTTTCTCTTAAAAGTAGCTAGGTTAAAAACAACATACACTTGTATCCTGGCCAACAGGGATTGCAGCTTAGGAATACACTAACCTATTTTGAGTCAAAGAAACAACCTCAGACATTCCACCTTATACTTTTCAATGGATACTATGTCAATTCTACCAACGGATGCAACATTATATCAAGCTAAAATTCTTTGTGCTTTTCTTTTAGTCATAAATATGATTTCAACAAGATTGACATATAGCTATCGCAAAGCAAGTGAGCAACTAGTATATTTCTTTTATAAGTTGCCACACATCAACCAATTCACCAAGTACCTATTGCCTCCTACCAACACAGCTACATGTACTACATAACAAAGCAACTAGCATTTATACCAACTCCAACAGTCTTATATTTCCAAATTCTTGCTACTCCTAATTCTTAATTATCTCAGCCACGACTAAAGAACTTCAGTAGTCCTTAAGATGTTAATAACAAGTTTAATTCCAGATTATGGTCATTTAGCATTTTGCCACACTTAGCCAACATAAACCAATAAACTGATTTTTCTTTTCTTGGAGGACATTTTAGCTGACTATGGTATAGGAAGTAGAGCACGCAGAGCCAAGAAAGTAACTAGATAAATCTTACAGGCGAGTCTCTCAAGTTTTATTCTTCCAATTCAAAGCGGTTGGTAACTTTGGTTGCAAGAATATACCATTCTCATTTGAACGTAATACTTCCAATCACCAGTGATTTGTTTATCTGCAAAATTATGGCAAATGCATGACTTCATACCTCTCATTATCGCATTGTGAATCTGACATACTCACATACAAACCAGTATATTGCAACCAAAAAATTTAAGGCTGAAGTCACTGAGAAGTGAGAACTTCTCCAAACATGATTTCAAAAGATTCCACAAGACAGGAACAAAAATGTCTTGAACACTGTTCTGGCAGTCTGTAGCAGTTTGGGATAGGTAGTGAATACATGAGCTAGATGAAGGTTGTTAAAGGCAAGAAGGGTAGAAACACCACAAACTATGTTGAAGCTTTAAGCTCAAAGCATAATTAAAGCGTAATTAAATTGTAATGAAGAAGGGCAAATGAATTTCTTGTACTAAAATCAAGAAGGGCAAATGACTGATGTTTCAGTTAACGTGACACACTTTCCTTTTTAGTCCGTTCCAAAAGAATGACACTTGCAAATTTGGAAGCAATTAACTTTACACTTCCCATTTTACCTATAATGAGAAGCTTTTATAACCACACAAATGTTATGGTATGTCTAAGGCCAAAAGTTTCAAAAGTTCTATAACCATACAAATGCTATGACATATTTTAGACCACCAGTTTCAAAAGTCTTCCTTTCTTTCTTAAAATTCGTGTCAATCCAATCTCTGTCACATAAATTGGAACGGAGGGAGTAATATATACGAAGTAAATAACATGTCAAGCAAATTTTTGCAATGACTAAGGGAAACAACCGAACCAAAGCAACAAAACCGCAAAAACCGAACCAAAACCAACAAAACCGAAAGCACTGCTGAAAGATTAAATATTATAAAAGCGACTTAGCTAGTTTAGTTTCCTTTTAAGCACAAATCAAGTCAAACCGAACCATGAACACCCCTAGAGACAATGATGAAACAAGGCAAGCAGGCTTCTACATAAACTAGAATAATTTTATTTATTTAATTATGAGCCTGTTTGGATGGGCTTGTTTTAAGTGACTTTTAAGTCAAAATAGCTTTTAAGCCATAAGTTAGGAATTCTAACTTTTTGCTTTTGGCTTGTTTTTGTCATTTTAGCTTAAAAACAAGTGCTTAAAAGCACTTTTTTACTTTATCCAAACACTACAAAATGGCTTAAAAGCTATTTTAGCTTAAAAGCACTTAAAACAAGCCAATCCAAACGGGCTCTATGTCTTTAACATCTCCTCCCCCCCCCCCCCCAAAACCCTCCCTCCAACCGTGCCCAGGCTTAATTATAGGTCAAGCATGTAAAAAATCAACTTGATAATGGATGGTGATGCCATAGTGAGACTTAAACCCCAGAGTTCTATTTGCTCTGATATCATGTTCAATTATGTGACTATCAAATCTAAAAGCTAGAACTTTAAAAAAGACACACTTTTATTTACTTAATTATGTTTCATATATTGCCCCGCAAGTTTAGATTTAATTCATTTTCATTGGCCAAACATGTGAAAATATTTTTTGACTAAGAATGGCTTCCAAACTTGAACACACTATTAGTATTTAAGCGACTTTACATCAATATGTTAAAGGCTTCCTATAATTGGTAAACAATGTGCAAAACACTTGTTCCCGGCAAAATTCTTAGGACAAAAATAAGGGAATTCTCCACAATACGCATTATTGGCTTGCCTCTATAAATAAGACATAAATCCACCAATATATGTAATACACTATAGAGTTTAAAACTTAAGGAGAAAATTAGCCTATAGGAAAAGTGTTAAGTAGGCCATATAAATACGGAAGAAGTATTATATGTATCTCTCACCGGTAAGAATAACTTGTATACATTGATAAGTGCAAGTACAAAAAGACCCAAGCCTAAGACAATCGTCACCATGCATTATCTCAATTTCTTCTCCTTTTTTTATCATATCTTCCTCAAATGGTACCAGCATATTTGTGAGAAATTACTAGTTTGTATTTACCACTATGTTCAGTTGAACAAAATATCATCGTGCATTTTCCAACAACTATTGTCTATTCGTGGCTTTGTCTCTTTTCGTCAGTTGCATTAAATAACACTGCATATTGACTCGCAATCCTTGTGCAAACCTGACCCAAGAAGCCCCCCCAATGTGCCACCACGTACCACCAGCCACACAGCCAGACGTGTTTCCTAGTGCCACGTTGTATCACGACCCAGTGAGAACGGCAATAGCTACCTTGAGACCACAGTCCAACAATACTGAAGCAACCACATACCCTGACTCCCTTAACTTATTCTGACAGCTAAAATTGTAAATTTTGGCGTTTCTAGATTTGTAAGCGAGGAGTTTAACATTTCAAGTTAAATTTTCAAGCTTTCCTCGTAGTTTGAAATCGACGGAGGCTAGAGACTCCAACCAAGGTGTTCTTTGATTTACCCAACAAAATTCCAAAGGTTTTTCGGCAACTCAATACCTTTGGTCAATTATCTTGACTTTTCCACAATTCCACCCACACTACATTGGTATTCCAGCATACTAAAGATATCCTATCTTGTAACCATCTCCAGTGATTGTGCTTTTTTTATAAAAAAGAATTGGGAACCTGCTTTTTCCAGCAAACAAATTTTTTGAAGAATTTCTTTCCACAAACAAAAATCGTATGATCTTCTCAGAGTGCTCAATTTCACCTTAGGTAACTATCTCATATTTTGTGGCCATTTCGGTTGTGCCAAATATATCTCGAAATCTTGGTCAAAGAAAAAATGGGACTTAGAGATTGAGGATTGCATGTTCTTTTATCTCATTATCTTTAGTTCCTAAAATAAGGTACTTGAGAAGTCAACTTCATAACTAGTTTCCGCAATTCAAGCAAATAATTTTATTACCTATGAATCTAGATACTTTATTTTAGACCCGGTGTCATTGATAAATGAGCTTTAGATCATATTTTAATAATATGTTTCTCTTCTCCATTATTTCTTGTTTCTCAAACCTCCCTACTACCACATAGGTAATGGATCCCAAACGCCTACTGAAATATGTCGAGTTACCTATATACCCTCTTTGAATTATATTCTTGGTTGTACTTTTAATTTCATATTCATTAGTTTCTTACCTCAATGACTTAATTGCTCAATAACCTTTTTCAATACATGTGCTTGCATGAAGGAATGCCCTTTTTAATACTTGTACTTTCATGAAGGACCACAATATGAGAACGAGAATTCATATTGAACATGAGTTACATGGATTTTACCATATTAACTTTTCGAGACCACCCATAGCTTGTCATCTGACCAACTCATTTGATTACATCCTGGTTTATCTAAACTTTAAGAGAGTGGTATCTTGTTTGTCATTTTTTTGATAAGGTAACTAATTTTATTAAGAAATAGGGAAAATTCGATATACAAGTCATACATCCCAATTAAAAGAGCCTGATATGATTCTCCACAAAAGAGGCCCAATCCTCTACACAAATAGGGGCCTTATGAGTACACCAAAAAGAAACTAGAAACAAACTACTTTGCAATTTTACAAAATCTTGTTCCACCCTTCAATTGCCTCCTATTTCTTTCTTTCCAAATAACCCACATGAGTGCTAAGGGGGCAACATACCAAGCCCTTGGACTTCTCTTCCCCCTGCTATGAGCCCAACTATGTAACGTTTCTTTCACTATGCCCGGCATCACCCATTGCACCACAAACAAAGGACCACCTTTCACAAATGATTAGCCACTTTACAATGCAATAGGAGATAATTTACATCTTCGCCCGAGCTTTTGCACATGAAACACCAATTGACGTAGGTGATCCTCCTCTTTCTCGGATTTTCGCTGTCAAAATCACTCCCTTTGCTGCCAACAAACATGCCTCGGTGCTCTAGAAATCCAAATAGTGCATCAAGGGAAATATGTTCCTCTCACCTAATAACCTCTTATAATAAGATTTAAGAGTGAACATTCCATCTCTATTTTCTCGCCATTTTCATACATCAATATAATGTTCAATGTATCCAACCCGTACAATACCTCAACAAAGTTGTGAAATTCTTACTCCCAATCATGTAGGTTCCTCATGAATCTCAAATATCAAAGAACAACCCCCTCGTGAGACCTTCACATTTGTTGGATTGTCATCTCTCTTTGGCATAATACTCTGTATATGTTGGGGAAGGCTTCCCTCAACTCGTTCTCCCCGCACCATTTATGCGCCCAAAAACTAATCTTGCTTTCATCCCCAACCTTGAAAAACATGTCCACTTAAGTCTTCTCACTCCTTCATGATACTCCTCCATAAACCACATCCATACGGTACTATGATGTTTCTAGTCCTCCATCCCTCTTCCGTGATATCATATTTTTTTGTTACCACCCCCGTCCAGATGCATTCTCCACCACCCCAAATTCTATATCCATTTCCCTAGCAATGTTTTGTTGAAAACCTTGAGATCTTTTACTAGAAGTCCTCTCCATTCCTTTGGAGAAGTCAAAACTCTCCAGTTTACTAAATGATACTTTCTTGTTCCTCCCATTGTGTCCCACAAAAAGTTTCGCGGAAGTCTTTCCAACCTTTTATTTACTTTACCAAGAGCCTGATACTTCCTTCCCTCCTTTAGACAAATACCTCTTTCCCATCCAGCAAGTCGCTTCTTACTCTCTATCACCAGATTTCACACTACAAGATCTTTGCTCAAAGCACCCAACGGTAGCCCCAAGTAGGTAGTAGGTAAAGTACCCACCTTACAATTCAACACTTGCGCAATCTCTTCAATATTCTCCACTTCTCCAACCGATGTGATCTCACAATTTCTGAGATTGACTACGGTCTAAAATAACCTGGAATCGGATAAGCATTTGTCTCAAGTGAGCTAGTTAGGACACATCTGCATCACACAAAAAAACGGCATCGGCAAATAAGAGATATGTAATTGTCACATTACCATGCCTTCTAAACGAAGCATCAAATCGTTCAATAGTCCTTCAATGACCGACCTATCCATCATTTTACTCAATGTTTCCATCGCGAAAGTGAATAACGTAGGGGATAGTGAATCCTCTGTCTCAAACCCCTCGAACTCCCGGAAAACCACATGGAATCACATAAACCAAAATAGAGAATCTGGCAGTAGAAATACAAAACTTGATCCATCTCCTCCATTTGTCCCCAAAGCCCATTTTCAACATAATGAAATCCATAAAATCGCAATTCACATAATCATAAGTTTTCTCAAGGTCCATCTTACATAAAGTTCCCAACTTACATAGCCTCTGCAACTCGGGAATAATGGGCCCATCTCTCAGCTCTTCTCCACTTAAATACCAAGCTTAGTTTGCAAGACCCAGGGCTCGAACCTGTGACAAGTCACGAGTCTCTCAACTTTTGCCACTTGAAGTAAGACCTAAGGGCTTAAATGAATATAATAATTTGAGAAATTTATTTATCTAATAAAAGGTCATAGAAGAGAATCAAAGTTTGTACCAAGAAGCTGTAACCTAGAACCAGGCACAAGAAGTTGAAGGACATCTCATCAAAACTGGAGTATTGAGGACTTATTTCCTATCCGCTTAGGTCAAAAGAGCACTATTGACTACCTAATTTCAAGCTTAAGAGAATTTATCATTGAAGCACTTCAAGGACTCACAAAATCTAATTCCTTGAACATTTCTCAATTGGTGTGTCACCATTATGCAGAGGCCATAAACATTTATGTAATTCCTTAAACATATAAGTGTTAGTTCTGAGATTTCTCTGAGAAATATAAAATCAAGGAAAGAGTTCTAGGATTGAGACAAATAAAGCATGTAATTGAATATTGAGTAAAGAGAAAACATTGAAGTTGTCGTCAACTTATTTGTCTCTATTCCAGATAACTCATGGCCAGCATTGTTCAAGCCAAAAGCTTTAAGAAGCGCTCCAAGTCTATTGGGGCTTTGAACGCAAAACGTAGTTAAAGTATGAGCTTTAGTTAAAAAAGACGTAATGAAGAAACAAAATAAAAATATACCTATAATGCGAGATAAAAGTAACAAATTCATTGATAATGTTTTTATTTAACAACTAAAATATCTCTTTGTTGATTATATTTGTTATTCAGTACCGTTCGACTCAAGATAGCATGCATGGGCAATAAGGCGCATGCTTTAGTTCCTTGCCTACACTGAAGCAGCTTAAGTGAGGCAAAGCGCACTCCGTGAGCTTTTTTGGGCTTCAGGGCTTAATTGCGTCTTAAATGAGCCTTTGACAACATTGTTCATGGCTACATATTCTTGAGAGAAAGGTTATTAGCCGAAGGTTGTGGTCTAGTGGTCAATGACGTGGAGAAGAACTATGAGGTCTTAGGTTCAAATCTCTGCGGAGGCAAAAGCACACTAAGTGATTTCTTCCCATTTGCTTAAGCATTGGTGGGCAGAGTTACCCGATACTTGTGTTGCTGGAAGGTAGTAGGTATCTGATAGAATAGAGGAGGTGCGCGCAAGCAGGCCTGAACACCATCTTCATTCAAAGAAAATAACAAAGTCTAGTGCCTGGAAATACTAATCTCACTTTATTTGGACTCATGTTGAAAGGACAGTATTTGTCTGATGCCAAAGCTCTCTCTTTCTCATTTGTCCTTTTTCTCATCCTCATCTTTGGTCCTTGCAACTCAGATCTAATATAAGTGCTCTACTATTGTCCTAAAAGCCCATGCTTGCTTTGCATTTCAAATAGGGGAATTACTTGCTTATGATTGTGTTCTTTACAGAACCTATTTTCTTGATTCAAATGCAGGAAATTTGAGTTATACAGTAATCTATAACAATCTATTACTCCATTGGAAACAAAAAATCCATAACAAAAGTTATCATTAATACAAAAGAAGCATTATTATAAGTTATGCAATTGGGTGCGACAGATCTGCTTGAAAAAAGAATCGGAATGTGGTACAATAAGTTTCCCGGGAAAAAGAAAACAACAATCCCTAATAGTTCCAGCTCTAAGGTTTGCTTTCAAAAGCCACGAAAGAAAGGGTGTCAGAGCTAACTTTGTCACCTTTTGGAAGTTGGAACAACACACTATTACTTCAGAAACTAACAATTGTCCTCAGGCTTATCATCAGAAAAAATAAACACCAGTTCTCATGCCTTCTCGTTAAGAGTTAGATGCAGTGAAGGAGGGACAAAAACAGATCAAATTTCTACTATATTATATTAGGTTAAAACAATTATAACAGTAATAACAGGTACCTGCTGAAGGGTCAGTAAAAGCTCTCTAACCAATTTCTGCATAGCATCACAAGGAAAAAGCATGAACTATGATGCATCGATCGGTCAAAGGAAGCGATTAACTATTTTCTTTTCTCAATTCTGCCCAACCACTACTGCTTCTTACAAATTTGTCCACTATACCAAACTCTTTATTCTGCGCCAACCTCCTAGAATAGTTCTCAGTTGAAATGAGGCCCTTCTTAAGTCTCCTATAGTAAATGATTTCCCAAGGCCACAAGCGAGAACAACCAAAATAAGTTTCCACAGGTAACTCATTTTCTCTCTTCTCTTGGTTCTCTAGCCCATAGTGTTTGAGAACCCGGTATACTTCCTCTGAGGATAGACTTGTCAAAGTAGCGGCATGAAGCCTCTCAGCAACTGGTGAACCAGAATTTGGATTTTGTGCCCATGTCTGCTCTTCCACCACATCATTATTTTGAAGCTCCCTTGTCTCTGCCAAACTCTTTGGAGATGCACTCCATGTTGTAAGATCACACGTGTCAGATCCTGTGGTATTTGAATTTTTCCATTGACAAGAATCTTTGTCTATATTTATTGCATCCCTCCTCTGACAACAATCATGCTCAACATCCTCTTCCAGTTCACAAACTGCAGCGTCACCTTGATTTTCCACTTGAACAATGATGTTTTCAAGCTTAGAATCATCCATTCTAGCAGCACTATTTTCCAGTGGTTCCCCTTCAAATAAAACTCCATTAGACTGAGGGTCACCAGCATCCACAAAAGTGGCCTTCTGATCTTTCTGCACCTTTTCCGGAGACGAAGATGATGTAGGAGAGCTTGACCTCGACTTCATATTAGACTTGTAACTTCTACCTCTAGTATGAAGGGTTGATGAACCAGACTGTGAACTGGAAAATGGAGAATCTTTAATGGAGGATACTAATTTTGACCTAGATGGTGAGGGAGACTGAGACAAAGACCTCATTGACCTAGAAGAGGACCGTGACTGAGATGAAGTATGATTCGAATGATATGAAGGTGATATTGACACCCTGGCTTTCTTTGGAAGAAACTTCTCAATACTCCCCCGTTCCTTCCAACATCGCTTGTTTTCTCTGTGGTTGTTTCTTCCGCCTCTATGAGTCGTCCTTGCTGAAGGAGAAGGTTCACTCCTCAATCTATGGCCATCTCTGGAATCAATAGCCTCCCTGGTACCTTTGGTCATCCTCAATGATATTGTGCCACGACCAGCTCGAAGTCTTCTTGAAGTCCTGGATTCAAGCCTCTTGATCCCCTGGGGACACTTCTGCATCTTGTGACCTGCTTCACCACAGTTGTAACAAGCATTTTGAGTCGTCGGATCAATTTGCTCTACTCCTGCTTTCTCTTCAGGCTTCCTCAAAGAGAGTGAACCATCCCTGTGTGTCAAAACATTTTGCTCCTTCCGCTCATCAGCCTCATTAGGTTCATATCTATCAAACTCCAATCCATCCTCAAGGACATTTTCATTCATTTGATTATCATTTTTTGAGAGGTTTCCCTCAACACCTCCACCTTGATCCGGAAGATCATCCACAAAAGGATGATGTTCCTTGTAATCTTTCTTATTCTCATGGCATGCCTCATTTGTAATTTCAGCAGGAAGCCTTTCGCCACCATTCCCTTGCCTACAAATTTCTTTATAACCTTGTTCCCCATTTGAACCAACCCCACGATTAACATGGTCAACATAATCTTCCCTAGCAGAGTGCGTCCTTCCTACTGCTTCAAAAGATTTAACATCTCGTGTATATTTCTGCAAGAACTGAGGCTGCTTATTAGACCATGAAAGACTTATTGGCTCTCCACATATGAACTTTCCTCGAAGTGTTTTTAGAGCTTTCTCAGCATTTCTAGGATAGTCATAAACTACAAATCCAAATTTGTCTTTCACGCGAACATTACACCGTCCGAATCTCCGGAAAACACGCTCAAGTTCATCTCTACGAATGCGAGATGATAGGTTACCAAGGTGCAGAGACATCTGTAGCATAAGACATAATGTCACTAAACATTTAACCAGAGCTCATCTGTTCATACAATTAGATATTGCACATGTATAACTTTTTCTCTTGGATAGTAAGCAGCCAAAAAACATTGTCTGTCAAAATATTGACTCATGAACTGCCATGTGAACTACATAGCAAAAAGTAAATTGAAGAATATGCAAATTTTCCCAGACATATTGGAATTTGTATTCTAGATCCTCGACAACTTACATCCAGATCACAGTACTCAAGAAGCAGACTATATCTTAATAAAGCATAAAATTTAAATAAATAAAAAAACTGCAAATACATCTTTGTTTTGTCTCATTTCTTCTTCCTAATAGATTAAATGGCACAGCCAATAAACACACACACACTTATATATATATGTACCTGTATATATACTTGATGAGTTAATTGAACACCACATCTATTGTAATGCGCACATTGAGCTATCATTGAGCTACTAATGTAATTCTATTTCTTCCTTGACACCAGATAGCCAAATGACCATATCAAATCAAGTAAATACTTCGAATATTTCCATTTCTGTCCGTAAACTCTTTTCCCTGTACCCAACTAGCAAAAAACGGCTATCCACCATTTTCACTATAGTATTAACTTGGAATAGTGTTTTAAGACAAAATTTTATGGATTACCACCAACAATAATAAAAAGAATAACACAAAACAAAAGATAAAATAAACAAAATTGGAAAAAGCACAACAATGTTTTCAATCTCAAAGTAACCAAGTTCGAAAGCTAAGCATTTACTGACTTACGAGCACAGAAGAACCTCAAAGACAATCACAATGACAATTAAGCATTCATTTCTCTCACAAAACAAGGAACATGTGTACATGTACATATATGCTGACTGAGCCATCATTTCTCCCGCAAAACAACGAAGACATATACACAAATATGTTATACATCAATCCCAAGCTAGTTGGAGTTGGCTATAAAGGGCAGCCCAGTGTACTAAGCTCCTGCTATGCGCGGGGTCCGGGGAAGGGCCGGACCACAAGAGTCTATTGTACACAGCCTTACCCTGCATTTTTGCAAGAGGCTGTTTCCACGGCTTGAATCCGTGACATCCTGGTCACATGATAGCAACTTTACTAGCTACGCCAAAGCTCCCCTTCAAACTTTACCGGTTGGAGTTGGCTATATGAATCCTAAATACCATTCCACTTGGACCCGTGTCATTCGAGTACTAAACGATTTGTCTTTTAAGAGAAACTATTTTTCTATACACTCTATACAACAAACCTCAATCCCAATTTGTTTCGTTCTGATACTCAACAATTTCTCTCTGAAAACAAACTAGGGTTTATCTGGCACGGGTGTTTTCTACCTTTTCTTTTTCTACTGATATATTCAAACACATGCACATGTATAAAATAGTAGAGTTGGTGTAAACAGTATCATTAAGATTCATAATAGGCCTAACTTTCTCCTATTAAAAACACAAGGTTCATGCTATAAAATCATTTTCTTCGTAAATTCTAAGGATATTGATCATGAATACTGCCCAAATGGGTACCTTTCTTTTCCATGAAATGTCAATAACACGCTAAAAGAAACTATTATGGGTGCAAAAGAGGGAAGAGAAGGGCAATGGAAAGCTCTAGCAAATTCAAGAACCGTATTATCAAAGAGAGCATATATACACTCATAAGCAAGCAAAGAAAACGGATTTCTATATATGGGATTACCTTGAAATGGCCTCCTCTGTGATTGGGCACTTTTGCCTCTGTTTGGTTTTGGATCTTTTGATTTGGGAAGAAAGAAGGGGTGAAATATTATGGATCTTTAAAATATATCACTTAAATTTCAGTACCCGACCTCCTGCACTTTAAACCTCAAAATTCACAACTTGAGGACATCCTGTGCTAAAGTTGAAAAATTGTGTCCATAAGTTTGTAATCTTATGATCTAAATTTTAAATTGGTAGTTTAGAAATTTAAGACAATTAGTCCTGAATTTCAAATTAGCAGTTCAAAATTTCAGGATACTTAGTCTCAAAATTTGGATGAACTGGTTAATCTTTAAAAATATTGTAAATTATGGATATATTTTAAATAGCTGGCTTAAAAGTGACTATTGCTGCACTTCTCCGTGAAATATTAGCTCATTTGTAATTGGGAGAAATTCAAAAAGGGAAATTACCAGCTATGTCACTCTACAAACTTTCCTAACAAAAAATAGCCCAAAACAAAATATCTACTAAAAAGGGCCCAAATGTCATTTTTGGCCCAAATAGTTTCAATTAAGATCGGAAG